AGCTTCGTTGTAAGAATTCATCAGGATTTTCTACTATTTGTTTAGTAGGAATATTGTCCTTAATTATTCTATCAGTAATGATTTTAGCTAAAAGGCATTGTTTGAATAACTTAAATTCTCTATCTTTGATTATTGTACATGATTTTTGTTTTTTTTCTAAATTGAAGGAAATCCAAAGACCCCATTTTGTATCTATCTTTTGTTTGAAGTAAAGTGACGCATCTTCTATTAGATAATCTTCAAAAGAATTTGAATCATAGTTAGTTTGATCTTCAAAAACTCTACTTTTGACTTTTTTGTTGTTTTTAATCGAAAGACATTGCGTTAAAAGATTGGGATCTTCATCAATTGTGACTTGCTTTTTTGCTCTCAGTATCAAGTCGATAACGATAAAGATTGTCTACTTAAATTCTAATATTTGCATTTATTTCTTTATTAATGTTAAGAATGCATTTATTATATACCTTTTTTTTATTTACAATTAATTTAAATTAGCTTTATTAATTGAAACAGAATTTTATAACAATTCTTTTTTATAATAATTAAAATAATGCGCTTATTCATTAATTGAAAACATTTATGTTTATGTATGTTTAAATACAGTAATACAAATCAACAGAATTTTTTTTTTTTAGAATCTTTTAAATATATTAAATATGAATTTTAGTCGTTAAGTTACTTAAAATGTCTTGTTTACAATTTTTACGATTACAACAGACAAATGTAGAAAAGCTTTTAAATGATTTGATTTCATCATATAAAAATAAAAAATTCTCTGATACAAAGATAATCGTTGGTGAAGAGGGAAAAACTGAAACAATTTATGCTAATTCTTTTATACTTAAGATACATTCTGAATATTTTTAACGTGCCTTTTCAAAAGGCTGGTGTCAAAAAGTAGATGAATATTTTGTTATAAAAAAGCCGAATGCTACACTCGATTCTATGAATATTATTATTAGATTTCTTTATGGCGTAGATTTCAATACATCACATGATGTGAAAACACTTTTGAATACATTTTCGCTTACGGATGAAATGGGCACCATGGTATTACATAATGGATTGAAGTCATATTTCATCGAAAATATCATAACAATTATGAAAAACAACCCATTATTAATTTTAGAATTTATTAAGATATTCATCTTGTATGATGATTTGAAAGAATTATTGTTAAAAGCTTTGTGTTTGAATTCGGCGTTATTATTCAATTTCGATAACAAAGAAATTCCTGAAAATATTCTCTATGAATTAAAATTAAGGTCAGAGTTATGTCTGGAAGAAAACTTGCTATTAAGTAGAATTATTCAATGGTTGTTGGATACAAATGGGTTTCCAGATAAGGTATATTTAATAGAACATATAAGGTTCAACCAAATCACTTCTGATGAAATTAGTGATATATTTTGTAAATATAAGAGAAGAAATATAAATAATGATATACTTTCTGAGGTGCAAAAATATTACGAAAAATTCAAAGACAATAACTATGATATTC